CAATATTGTTATCTTAATTGATCGGGGTATCACAGATAATTTGTTAAACTGCCAATATATAAATATTAAAGATACTGCCATCTTATTGTATATTATACTAGAGGTTATAGAATATTGCCATGAAGGTACATTTATATTTTATACTATCTAATTTATATTTTGTACCAATTATTAAAAATTTAAAAATTACCTGTACACAAACGGGAACCAATTCGGCTCAACTTAATAAAATACCTTTTTCAAACGGGAACCAATTCGGTTACTCCCTCGACGACYGTCACCCTCCCGCCCATTATMKRGTATCCGCTTGTTGAGGTAGTTTTAGTTCTTATTTAACTCACTAGCGCTGCAGGTTATACTTATTTGAGGTTATGTATTTAATATTTATTAAAAACAATCATATCAAAATAAATCAATATATCATATATATCAGATGATTTTAGCCGGTGCCAGAAATAGAAAATTAGAAAAATATACTTACCTGACTTACCTGTTACCTCTGAAAATTCTTTAGATCGCCATGTCACTGGTGTAATGTAATAATTAATTAAAAACATTTTATTATTTTAATATAAAATGATAAAATATATCATTGAGTAATAAGATACTCGTAATTGTTTTTTATTATACAATTTTAAATACGAATTTGTAATTATAGTTTCTTAAGTCTTACAAAACTTCGCAACTTTTTTTTTATTTCTGTTATCTAGTTTCTTTGGAATGGAAAAGACAGACAGTTTTTTATTGGTATTACAACCAAATATGCAGATATTGTTGGGCATAATTAATTTTTCAATGACTAAAAACTTGATGGTCGAAATAAAATGATGAGTGCAATAGCTAATTAAATACGTCTTGGTAAATAGAAATAAATATTAACCAAAGTTCAATAGTTGATTTTAGATTTAGACGGAATTTTGAACATTTCCAAAACAAGAATATAATATAAGTTCATAACCTCAATAAGTATAACCTGCAGCGCTCGTGAGTAACAATTGAACTAAATCTGCTACATTAAGCGGACAACTGATAAGTACTAGTCGATGGACCTTATCTTCGAAGACCGTGGACTAAGATAGTAAGATATGATATTATCTTCAGCTGCACATTTCTTATCAGTTACTTATTGTTTTTATCATTAATATTTGTCAATTTAATTTGATAGACAAACGCTGCCAACGTGGCAACGTTTCACCCAACTGCTCCGACCAATTGAGGAAATGGTTTTGTCCCGTTTTTTTTTTTTTTCATTTGAAATTTGGTATTCTTTAATTTGTTCTCAGTGACAGTAAGATATGGTACAATTTAGTTATTAATTGTATTCGTTACTTGTTGCTTGTTTGTTGCCTGATTACGTTAAGCCCGGTAACGGAGAGACTGGGAGTTTTTAAATTTTTTGMGAAATGAACCAAGTCGAGATGGCTGCTAAGAAGTCGGCCAGCTTAGGTAAGTGTCTTATCCACAATGACTCTAACATTTAAAACATTCAATTGTAGTGTATATGAATGTATACGACACTTGTTTGTAATGTTTATTTTGAGGTTTACAGGTTGTATAGTTTCGTCAACTAATTTTCTGACCCCCTGTGAAGGTTAAAATACAAGAAGTGTTCTTAAAATTAGTGCCTACTAATAATAGTAACTAACTTCTGTACTACCCTTAATTTTATATTATCTATTCATTTTAATAGTACACTCCTACACTCACACTCGAACAATTAATAATTGTCAGAAACTCTGTAATGGTTGTTAATTTGGCAACTATTACAGTAATGACTGCTTATATTGGAACATTGAATTCCACATGTTTTTATCTCCACTCGGTGTAATTTTATACTGAATAGAAATTATAATTTTTCATGATACCATTCAAATAAATTGTTGTCATTGTTCAAACMAGTCTCCATATCATATTAATTGTATGACATCAATTAAAAAATAATTAAATGTTGCACACTATTAATCTCACTATTGATGTACCAAATAAATTTTATTTCATAAAATTGACGTAGGTAAGTGTTAGTTAAATAATTAGTTCTTAAGTCTTGCTAACTCTTCTTATTTCATAATATTGTCATTTATTTGTTAAATAGGTAGGTATAATAACATAATTTATATGTTTAATAGTTAATAATCGGTCAAATTAATTGTTATCATCTACATTATGTCAGGCATAATTGATATCTTGGTTTCATAAAACATTGTATAGAAACCACAAAATTAATGTTAAAAATAATTATTTATTTTGTTAAAAAAWAAAATAACTSAGAGCTAATGTGCTATATAATTTATTACCTATTATTTATAATTGTTGACTGCATAATTTCCTCTGTAGTAGTGTAATGTGATTAATCAAAAATAACAGCTAGGGATAGGTATGAATGAAACAATACATTAACCAAGATTTTGTAGTTAAATGTTTTGAATGAGTAATAGTTGATAAGGTTAAGACCAACTACTGTCCTGACCTTGCTAAGTAAATTCTTTCATAAGAATGGGTTAATAAATTTAAGACACTTACATTTAAGTTAAATAGAACAGTAGGTCTTAATTAGATTTCTTGCAAAATATAGAAGTGATCAACGTAGCAGAGTTAAGGTTTAGTTGTTGTTAMTACCTCTAAACTGACTCGAGAAACTAGAGGACAGACTAGGTAAATTATAAAAAATTAGGCTATATTTATATAATTTACCTTTCATACTTGTTAGATTTAACTTAGATTTTATTATTACTTATTTTCAGGGTTGGGCAGTATCTTCGATAYAATTGTATCTTGTATCTTGATACAATTATATGAAGTTTCGAGTATCTAGTATCGCGATATTCCAAAGCCAAGTATCGAGTATCTAGTATCGAGATACTCCAAAGCCAAGTATCTAGTATCTTGTATTGCAATATTCCAAAGCMAAGTATCKWGTATCTAGTATCKMRATACTCCTTTTTAAGTATCTTGCCCAACCCTGCTTATTTTAATGGTTTATAGATACAACATTTGTTTTTGTTATTGCACATTTTGTCATATTAATTACAATATTATATTATAATATAWGACTACCTATCTTAAATGTTAAACTTAATTTTAATTATCTATAGTATGGTGCAGGTAATTTGGTTAGGTTATAAGTTTGGGCCAGGCCAAAAAACATTTTTTGATAATTTATGTTTCTGATATTKTCCTTGACAAATATTTATGTTATCCCTTATGGCGGGAAAATATTGTTTACGACAATTTCGGTAATACTTATTTTTGATAAATTTTTCTCTAGTGTTTATGGGGTTTAAGAATGATATGTTTAATATTACCATTGTGATATTAAGATATGATGTTTTGTGGCATAATAATATCACCACAGTAGATAATTGAGTGCACATTATTTAATAATGTTAGATGTCTATATATATATATATATATTAATCTTGAACAGAAAGACTTAGAGTAAGAAGCATTCATACTTTTTGAGGTTATAAATGTATATTTTATTCAATAAACTACATCAATTTTAATTAATTATAAATTAATGTTATATTTGAACATTTTCCACTTTTACCTTAAAGTTGAACTTTACTTTTTGATGATAAAAGTATGTTATTATGAGCCTAATTATTTATGTAAATTACTAATCATTTGTTTTTATTTTAGGCTCTTTGTGGGATGTTATCCTTTTAGAATTAAAACGTGGCTATTCTCTAGAAAATAATGAAAAAGAATTTTTAGACAGGACACAAAAAGTTTATAATTTTATGAAAATACCCTTCGAAGTAGAACGATTCATATTMTATGGTATTTGTCAGGTATGTAAGCCCTTATTCGATTTTAGTTTAATTAAACATAATGTTTAACATATCATATAAGATATAACTTACCTTATAAGCAGAGCCCAGATTTATATGCATTTAAAAAGTGTCAAATTTGCAAAGGAAAAGGGCTAAGTATGCAATTATATGTATTATGATACACTTTATTAAATGTGTTTTTATTAAACTACACTTTTATACCAAAGAAAATTCTAAATATTTTATCATAAACAAAAAAAAAAAAGAAAATGATAATATCCATTGCTATACATATATATCAAATCATTTAAATCAATCTTAAATTTATGGAATACTTTGAAAAATAATACAAATCTTTTAAAATAATATTTTCAAAACTATAAATGTTTTAAACAATAAATGTTTTAAACAATAATATAAATTTTAAAACTTGTTGGAACAACACTAAAAACTAAAATATTAAAATAGGTTCTTTTAATAATTTTCATAACATAATCTAATTTTTTTAAACGKRCTAAACGCATWGACGTACAAGTGATGGTTGATGACTGCATATTAATTAATTGCCATTGTGCCGGGTGGTGGCTATTATCATCAGTCAACACGGTGGCTAAAAATTACTGACGGCCAGTGTATTGGAATTTAGCTAAATAAGATTTATAAATAGAGCTCGGATTTTAAAGCATAATAAATAACAATAAAAGCACAAAATTGTTTTTAAAAAGCAAAAACAAAGCATATTTATTTTTTAAAAAGGCAAAAAAAAGCATGACTAAAAAATTAACATGGATTAGTTATAATTTTATAAAACTGAATAAAAAAAAAATTGAAAAATTAATTTAAATTAAAAAAAAAATTTACTACCATGTATTTGGCAAGATTTTCAGAAATGAAACTGACTCTATTGTCTGACATTATGATTTATACATACAAAATGAACGCTCTACATCCACTGAAGTGATCGGGGCATACTTCATGCAAGAGGTTTCGTTTAAATCAAATCCATGATAATTAATTTCATTTGATAGTTTTGATTTTTGGCATTTTAATAAATTACAACATTATAAAGCACTATAAAACAAATTTTGAACATGTCTATATCGATGTTATACGAGTACTGAGCATAGGTTCTACAGACTATATGCCATAGCCGATAAGTTTAAGGACGTTTCGCACTAAACGTTACTGTCATTATTTCGGTTTTTCACATTTCTTATTAAGTAAATAAACATTTATTTTTATAGCATAACAGACATATAAAAATTCCTTTGTTAGAATAACTGAAAAAAGCAAAAAAAAAAAAAGCAAAATTAAATTCTTTTATTTGGAATCAGATTGACGTGAAACAAATTTATGTATAAATATGAAGCATTTCCTTTAAAATCTAAGCCCTATTTATAAATATAATGATACGTGAATACACAATGTGATTATTTCTAAAATGATAAAGACATACTGGGACGCGAGTGTATGTTTGCTAATAGTTAAAAACCATTAATTATGCATGTTATATGCATTTATGAACAAATATGTGATAAGTGATAACCCTCAAAATGTGCAAAATATGCTACCTATATAAAATTTGGTATGACATGAACCATGGACATTTTAAGTCCCCATAKACTTATTACAAACATGTAAATGCATATAAATCCGTACTTTACTTATAAGGTATTCTAAAGATTTAAGTTTAATGCATTGTAATTTTAGTGTGTGGATTCATTCCTATTTGTCTATACTTTCTTACCATTACGGGCATTAGTCACATTTAAATCATTAATTTGTTGCTACTTTTCAAAATTGAAGTGAGTATTTTACAAACTGTTATATAATCATAAAACTTATTGTACATTACTTTAAGGGACAACCATAACAAAAAACTGTTATCTCCTGCTGAAATTTGCAACTTGATAAAAATGGCTATACTAATAACATGTTTGATGATGTTATTACCGTGGGATACTTCTATGATATATCATGTAATTAAAAGTCAGTCGGTTATTAAGTTATACATATTTTTTAACATGTTAGAGGTAACTATTAAATATTTATCTTCAAGTTTACTATTTTTAATTTATAAACATATAATTTTATAATTTAAGGTTGGAGACAGATTATTTTCATCATTTGGCCAAGACATATTAGATGCATTGTTTTGGACCGCTACTGAACCTAAAAATAGTCAGCATGTACATTTTGGCGTTTTACCACATTTTGTTATTGCTGTTTTGTATGTCTGTATGCTTTTAAAAATATGGTTATCATTCCATATATGATCTACCAGACCAACTCGTATTTGAAATGGTGACTACTAGGTACCAACGAGTTGTTTACCCACGCCCAAATGATTTATTCACAAGTACATTTTTGTATCACCATGATATTTATGGCATGAATTAGTTTCATTAACTACATTGTTGTCAAAATTTATATTTTTATAAAAATATTAAAACTGATATTTTTTATCGAATAATCTCATTTAATTCAACTACTTAAGTTTTATACATTTTTAACCAATGTCTAAACACATAATGGTWATTATTATCATCAGGGCTCGTGAGTTCATGCTCTAAAAAATGCCTAAATAAGTATGCACTTATGCACTTAAAGCTGGGAAAATATGCATTGAAATATGCCTTTAAAAGTTCAGAAATATACATTTATATGCACTAAAATTCTAAAAATTTGTATAAAAAATATGTAGATTAAAAAATAAAAATACTATAAGTAAATTTTGGAATAACAAAGAAATGTTCATTCATATTATTAAAAGTTTATTAAGTTATATTTTATTATATTAATCTACCGAATTTCAAAAAATAAATTTAAAATATCTATCAATAAACAATTAAAAAAATATCTTATTTTAAATCTGAAAATTTTAAATCCAATTTATTAAAAGATACAACATATTTAATTAAATAATTTATATTTACTTAAAGAGTTGCATTGCACAGTAAGAATTTTTTAATGATGTCAAATTTGAATGAACGGCGATTATGTGTGAGTAAATTGGTGTATATTGAAAATGATCTTTCAACGTCAGCAGAGGTGATTAAAACAAGAAAAATCATTAAGTGTCATATCTTCGGGTAATCCTAGATTTTTCATATTTTTCTCTTTACCATATATAATTTAAGAAATTTGACAAATCATTTTGTAACTATGGTTATGATTTACAACAAAATTGCATTTTGATTGAATTTCGGTAAAAATATGCACARTAAAATATAAAAATGCATAAATATGCCAAATAGTTTTTAAAAAAAACCTCTAAATATGCAATATAAAATTTCACATGCTTAACCACAGTACCTTGAAATGGATTTTTATGTCACCTAGCATTTAAATACGACTTAGCAAGATTGATATACAGATGCATGAACTCACGAACCCTGATTATCAATAATGAGTGTAATGGCATTATTATTACTGAGTATAATATAAAAATGTATATTTTTTAAATAAAATCAGTTGCAGCAATATCCATTCTAGCTATATTGCTGAGAATTAAAAAATTCTAATATTTGTATAGTAAAATATCTAAATCACCTAWTAAATTATTTACATAACAGTTTAAAATAAATTTACTATAATAAAGTAAAATAACTTTACATTAATTAAAGATACATTACATGTAAATATGATATTTTACAATTTATTTTGAAAATAAACTTTTTTTTATATATTCCAAATTATAATATTTTCATATTAAGCAAGATATTTGTGTGTAAATATTTTCTCTAATTCTATGGTGTGTACCTTACCCTGGTATTGAGAATTTTGACGTTTCCGTTTGTATAAAAATGTATTAAAAATCGTACTAGTATGCTATCAGCCTAAAATTTTCAATTTTTATTGCAAATGTTGTGATCTATAAGCAATTTAAACTATGGTAGTTTGATGTATAAGGATGAAAGACTCTGTAGTCATTGAGTGRACGGGTCGAGCTTCATAAATTATGTGAAATCATCCGGCAGTTATGCAAATTTTACTTTTATAAATTAATTAAAAATTGAACAACGCTATCAACTATTGATACCTTTACAATTTGATTRGGCATGTTGTGGGCTATCAGCCTTGACAATTGTATTTTTTGTTTAAAACTTGAGAAGCCTGTAGTACAATAAAAGACGGCTGGAGTTTAAAAATTTAAAATGTAAAAATTGTGCGATCGTTTTGAAACTTGCACTATTAGATTACACATTCTTTTCATATCATCTCTGTTAATTATGTATCAGGATAAAAAACCTGTCATCAAATACAAATACWTAATAATATTACAAAATATAGTGCATCTTACATAAATGTAAGCAAAAACAAAAAAAAGCTACTGTTTATTTAGGCAGGTAACATAAGATCTTCATTTGGTGAATATTAATATCTAAAATACATCAACTATTTTAATACAATAATATTAACATAATAAAAGTCTTAAAACCAACTTTAAATTTTCTTTGACGTACATTATTAGTCTTACATAGCATACTTGTATTATGTCAAGCTACCATATTGAATATTGCCATTAATTCTAGTCACAGGGCACTACTACCAATTATGATGTCAAACAATGTAATATATTTTTCATATTTTATTATGAGTGCAAAATTATAACTGAAAATWATTTATTTATTTATTTTAGTTCATAGAATTTAATGGAAGTGTGTTCAAAAAGTTTAATAAAACAACTTTGTTCCAATTATCTTGCAGTGATGTCCGTGAACGATTCCACTTGTTCATATTATTACTAATAGTTGTAGTGCAAACAATGAAAGAATACCAATGGACTAGTGGTTAGTATTTATTAAGCCATGGCCARAACTAATTTTAATTTAAGAAGAAAAATTAAAGAATAGTGCCAATGTTTACAATTATCTTTCCATACTGTCTAAAATTTAAATTGGCTGTATGATAATCCAAATCAAATAATACTATTTTATATTGTTTCTATTTTAACCTTTGTGTGTTTTTTTTTTTTTGTATAATAATTTTAGATTTTATTGTCCCTTTGTTTAGGTTTGGTTATTTTCTGTTAATTGAAAAAAAAAAAAAATGCTTTGCTTTATTATATGGTTTCAGAATCATTTTGGGAGTTAATGCTTGACTGCATGTATATTATGATATTAGAAATTATAATTGATTGGACAAAACATGCATTCATCACTAGGTTCAACGAAATCAACTTATCAGTATACAATGACTATTTATTGAGCCTTGCTTATGACACTGAACAATCATATGATAAAAAGGTAAACATTTGTGATTATTGATATTGCCGGCTGGGTAAAGTTGTTTAATTTGTTTTCTAAAAACCATTTTGTCTTTAGGCTTTCACTGATCACTCGGATTTGGTAGCAAGACGAATGGGATTTATTCCAATTCCAMTTGGAGTAGTTATAATTAAGGTTCTAACTAGATGTGTGTCTATTGATGGGCAACTAGTTTCCATAATTCTACTATTGACTACATTTATATGTCTAGTCACATTGAAAATTCTTAATCTTGTTTATATAACAGGAAGAGCTTGCAAGATGATAGACCTCAATAAAACTATGTGAAAATTAAAATTAAAATAAGTCATGATTTTTTTTTWTWTATATATATTATAATCAATAGATTGTTATACAGGAGGCATGTCTTATCAGTTTAACATGTTAATATAAAAAAAATCATATAATTAGATTTACACATGGTGACTCTGTTTAAACTTATATATAGCTTTCAATGCTAATGCCCTGAATACAGAGTATTAATTTAGGTTGAAAAATCATTGGAACGTAATATAAATAAAATTTTATATTTTCATATTAGAGTATTTAATTTTAATTAATAATACTGTAAAAGAGAATGTTGTTGTTTTTTAATTATTGTTAACTTAATATGCATTAACACACTCTTATATCCCTTCTAGAATATATCATTAAAATAACCTATTAATTACCTTGTTTTAATAACCAAAATCGAAATCGCAAAATTTGTATTGGTTTCCGTGTTCCCGTTTGTATCTAATTCTTTGATTGTTGTTTATTGATGTTTTAATTATTATATATTAGGTATTAGGTGTTTTAATATATAAATCTTAACTATATAATATGTATAATATTATCTAAGCGATTTATCATTTATTTTAAATTTTAATACCTTTTCATGCATTTTTTTTTTAAACATAACTTAATTTATTAATTTAAGCGAAGTTAAATCAATATAGTATTTGTTAACCTCATTTTAATTTAGTTGATGCATTAAAGATGTGTAATAATATAACTTTTAATTTAATTGAAAAAAAATACTTAACTAAATTATATAAGTTGAAAACTATCATTAACTTGCCCGGCCGYGGATTTAGCTAATTCATGTTTTATTATTTGCTTATAAGTTGTTTTTAAAAATATACACATACACAATATAACGTGCATAACCTTCTTACTTGAAATACAACAATATCTAGACTAGTAAAATACGTGATTTTTGTATTGAAAAATTAAACGTTAATAAGATTGATTATAGTGTATTGATATTAGTATATTTTTGTCRTAAATAATATTTTTAGATTCTTGCTTTAGATAGGCTTTATTTCAAATATAGACTTAATTTAAATTAGATTTATAAAAACATCTATATATAATTAAAAAGCGGGAAAGTGGATGTCGCTCTGCTGTACAGTAGATTACAAGTGGGTTACTGTAATGGATTGAATTAAATATGAACATTTCACCAGCCCCCCAAGTTGGTAAATCGTGTTTATTTTTCACCATTAATTAGTCTTCAATTTGTGTGAATTTGTGCGATAAAGGRTTAAGGATAAATTTAAAAAAACTTGGGGGGCTGGAGAAATGTTCCTTGGCCCCCCTTAAGTGTGAAAAACCAACATTCTTGGATTTTTTTCTGCCAACAATTATTGCGCTATTTGTGTGACCAAAATCAAAATTTGTGTGCAAGCCTTTAGCCCCCCAAAATTGCGTTTAACCATTTTGACTACCTAACCATTTTCCAGCTCCCCCTCGAGGGTGAATAAACGAATTTTCTGGATTTTTTTTGCCAACAATTAGTGCGCCATTTGTATGAATTTGTGTGACCAAAACGCTGGGGAAACGATCAAAACAGTTAAACGCAATTTAGGGGGCTAAAGGGTTACGCACAAATTTTGATTTTGTCACCACACAAATTCACAAAAATGGCGCACTAATTGTTGGCAAAAAAAAAATCCAAGAATGTTGGTTTTTCACACTTAGGGGGGCAAGGGAACATTTCTCCAGTCCCCCCAAGTTCTTTTTTAAATTTATCCTTAATCCTTTATCGCACAAATTCTAAAAATGTTCGCACAAATTCACACAAACTGAACACTAATTAATGGTGAAAAATAAACACGATTTACCAACTTGGGGGGGCTGGTGAAATGTTTGTGAATTAAATTTGAATCCAATGATATTATATCATTGTATACGAAAAACGATTTATCTGTCTAGAATATAATATTATATTATAATAGATTATTAAGAATTTTTCAAATCTTAGATTTAAAATAAAAATTTTTTATGAATTTTGTAGCATAAAATAATTTGCGAATTTTCGTGACATTTAGGTATGTTGTCAAAATTCAAATTTGAACGATTGTAAAAAAAAATTGTGACTGTATTTCTTTTATTTTTCAACTGATATTTTAAAAATATGTTAAGAACTTTGTATTAAATTTTCAAATCTTAGATATAAAAGGAAACACTTTAATGAATTTCTATCTAAGATAATTTGAATATTTTCGTAATTTTTACGTATTTAGTCAAAATTTAAACTTTATATGCTTATAAAAAAAATCGTGCCTATGTATTTTTTATATTTTTTAACTGCTATTGTTACAATGTGTTAGAAGGCTTGTATTACATTTTTAAGCTTTTCTACCACTATTACGCAAGGTCGAATACAAATTCCAAAATTGGTCATACAAATTCATACAAATAGCGTTTAATTATTTGACGTAGGAAAAAGTAGAAAATTCCGTTGAAGGGGGTCGGGGGACACGGGAAAATTGGTTTTTTGATTATAACTCGGGAGGGGGTCGCATACAAATTCTAAAAATGGTCATACAAATTCATACGAATTGAGTTATTGAATCTGGCAGTATAAAATATATGAATACTTAATTATTTATATTACGGGAGCTGGAGACATGTGTCGTCAGCCCCATTCAGTATTTTCGATATTGCTCGAATACTGGTGTCGTACAAATTCTAAGTACAGTCAAACAAATTCATACAAATGACAAACAAAATATTTGGATAGAAATTTTCTAGATTTTCTTTGGATGGGGAGTTGGGGACACGGACGTGAATGCTTTCTTGAAGTCCAGAAAGATTGCAGCTGTTTTTTCCTTTCTATTTGTTGAATTTGCTAGGTGGTCAATTACTTTTGTCAGTTTACTGGTTGTTGAATGATGTGGTCTCAAAGCATATTGTTCCAGTAAAATTGAGGTCGATAAGACCTTTTTCAGTTGTACGAGAGTTATGATTTCCAGGATCTTGGCCATTGAGTTGATGAGCGTAATAGATCGGTGGTTGCTTGGGTTTTTGAGGTATTTTCCTGGTTTTGATATCATCACTACGGTTGCTGTTTTCCATAGACCAGGGAAGTGTTGAATACTTAGGCATAAGTTGAAGATTTTGGTTAGCGCCATGCGAGTCTTGTTAGAGAAGTATCGAAGAGCTGTGTTTGAAATGCCGTCGGGTCCTGGTGCTTTGTTGCGGGGTAGGTGCTTGATGTTGTTTCTTACTTCCCCCGGAGAGATCGATTGGATTGGCAGTTTAATTGCTGTTGTTAGGATCCGCATTGAGTTGGCGACTAGTAGGACTAACTGGGTTTCCATCCGGGCGATTGAATCGAGAAGCTAGGTTTGTTGCAAAGAGTTCAGATTTTCCTGGAGAATAGAAAACTGGTCCTACTAGGCTATTTGGTGGGCGATTTGGAGGTGTTCTGTTGATAAGTTATTTGTTGATTTTAAAATTTTCGTGTCAGCTGTTTTTAGCCCTGCAAGGAAGTAGCCCCATTCTGATTCTCTGTGCTGTAGAATGAGTCTCTTGACTTTTGGTGTCTGATTATTGAATCGATGTTTTGTTTCTGGGTTCCGAGAGTTTTGGTGGGTCCAACAGAGGTTTGCTGTAAGTGTTAAGATGACTGGACTGTGGTCAGATGAATGTTCGTCGATGTAATTACAGAGTAGGTATTGAAGATTGATATTCTTTATTATTGCAATGTCTAGAACGTCGGATTGATGATGAAGCTGGTCTGGATGATGAGTTGGGGTGTCAGGTGCGATGACGAGGTAGTTGTTCATCTCCATGTGATTTAGAAGTATCAGGCCAGCAGTATTTRTTCTTTGACTGTTCCAGACCGGGTTTTTTGCGTTCATGTCCCCTGCTAGAATTGTTGGAAGGTTGGTGTCTAAAAAGTTTTCCAAGTCTGTTGGTGCGAGTGTGTTTTGGGGCTTTTTGTAGATTGCTGAAAGTCTGGTTTCCCGGTTGTTTATCTGAATGTGAACGGTGGTATTTTCAATATAGTTTGTTTGTATGTGCACTTCGTAGTGTATGATTTTATTGGCTACTAGTATTGCTGTGCCTCCAGCGCCTCTCTGTCTTGATGGAGTGGGTCGCTCATTCCTGTACGTGTGTTAATTTGGAAGCTTAAATGATTTGGTGGGTTTGAGGTGTGTTTCACTGAGTAGAATGATGTGGATTTTATGTTGTCGTATGAATTGATAGAGCTCTGGTTTTTTGTTGCCTAGTCCTTGGCAATTCCAGTATAAGATTCTAAGTTGTTCATCCATGTTGGTTGATGAGTAAAACTATGGCTGAGATTGCCAGTAAGATGGTGTCTTTGAAGTTTGATGCGGTAGATATCTGGTATACRGCGCGGTTTAGTATGTCTATTAGGTTTGGGTTTGTTTTATTTAGTGGTTGGACTAGAGCTGGATGGGGTTTTGACGGTGATATAGCTTGTACGTATGTGAACTGCTTGGAGTGAATGGTGGTTGTAGGTACTTGAGGGGTGCTGAGTGGTGAGATATCTTGAGGGTTCATTTTCTTTGTAGAGGTGGCCTTGACGTGGGCATTGGCGGTAGTTAGCTGTGTGTTCTCCATTGCAGTTGCAACATTTTGGTGGCTGGTCCGGTGTTTTGGTACTTGTTTTAGTTGCGTGGTTTTTGCCGCATTTGACACATTTTGGCAGGAGTTAACAGTGAGCTGAAGAATATCCAAAGCCTTGACACGTGAAGCACTGAGATGGCCCGGAAGTTTTGTAGATTTCCACGCGGATACCTACGTAGAACAGACTAGGCATTATGTCGAAGATGCTTTTGCTGCTCTGGGTGTTAGGCAGGCATACCATGCACATAAGAAGATTTCTGCCGTCTTTCAGAAACTGGCACACATGAGTGACTTCGTAACCGAGGGATTCCAGCTCGGTTTTTATCGAGTCTTCGGAATTGTAGCTTGGAACATCTCTGAGGAGCACCTTTAGTTACCACTTTGTAGGTAGCGAGAAAGTGTGGAAGGGTATGTTGTTGTTTTCC